TCGTAAAGGGTGGCTGCTATGTTTTTTTCGGGGTGATGAATGATGATCACAAATATCATGTTAGTTATGATCATAGATGATGTCTTCATGCATTTAGGCCAGATCGAGTCAGGTCAGGTCAACCAGTAAGGGTTTTGCCGGGTATTCGTAGTAGGTGGCAACCGCCTCTGACAGCTTCGTAACATGTAGGTAAAGAAGGCACCAAAACTACATCGTAAATGTTCAAATGGTTGCTAAATTCGAATTCAGCTCCCAAACCAGCCTAGAAACATGTAAAACTCGAAAAAGTGAATAGAGGTCATCAAAGGTCAATTACCTGACCTGACCTTCCGGTGACCTTGACACCCACCCTAATGCATGGGAGCAACATCATATCCCATGTTTGAACGTTTAAAACCACGAAAAGACTGCAAACGCGCGACTAATGCGAGCCGACATACGCCGAATCGCTATTCCGGCCAAACATAGTCTCGAAAAGTAGGCCACAGGTCAAAGGTCATTCGGGTCAGGGTCATGAAATTTTCAGGGTAGGTGTAAAATTGATTAATGCGAGGGTACTGAAAGTTTCGTCGCGATCAGCCTCTCTTTGCGTCTTGAGTTATTCGCGAAAAACCGAGGGGATCCGTTCGACAACAGGCAATACATTGTTCTTGTGGTAACATGAATAGGTAACCTTTTTTGTGGGAAGCTGTTTACTATCCTGACCAACGAATTCCACTTAAACATCCTGAATCGGCCTGAGCAGCCAAAATTCTGAACAAAAGCGTGTTTTCAATACTCGAGCTTATCATGCCCCGCCTCTCGGCTGGGAAGTGACTCGGACGGACAGTGGCTCAAACAGGAGCTCGGCTCAACAGGGCCGGCCCAAAAACACCGGTACACACATGACACAGGAGCGGCGCCTCGGGTAATGCCCTTGTTGACCTAAAGACCCTCGCATGAGTGGTATGGGCCCTCTCAAGTATGGTACCTATATGGTTGACCCCGACCGAAGATTGACCGGCGGCCAGGATTTAGTGCGGCGTACTCGCGGGCGATTTCGATATCATAGGGACCCTATGAGTGCAGGCCCTCGCATGAGTGGTATGGGCCCTCTCAGGTATGGTACGGGCCCTCCTAGTCATTGCAACAGTACAGTCCTCTCAGTACTGCTGGGGGCCCTTCCATGATTGCCATTGACTGACATAACCCTCAGTAATATGTCAGGGTACGGGCCCTCACATAACTTGTGGTGTCCCCCTCAGTACTGTTATGGGCTCTGCTGTGGGCTCTCTCAGTACTGATACGGCTGGTATGGGCCCTCTCAGGCATTTTACAGGCTCTCGCACTACTTCCAAGGGCCATCTCAGCACCACTGCGGACCCTGTCATGACTGGTATGGGCCCTCTCCTTCTCAGGCATAATATGGTACCTCCCAGACCTTGCCTGGGCCCCTTCATATATTGAATGGGCCCTCTCAGACGTGGCATGGGCCCTCTTTGTCCCGGGCCCTTTCTACAGCCTGGGAAGATAGGACAAGGCCACAATTACCCAAGATACAAAATACATACTTTTCTTTCACTTTGTTTTGCTAAATTGGGCCCTTTTCCAAAATTATGGGCCAAAGCCGGTAAGTTTTATCTTGGCGGCAGCACCTTGAGAAGGCCCCCTTTGGCTTGATTCCCCACTCCTGAAGCCATTTCTACAGCTCTGCCCAGAAGTCTTCTTTCTGCACAGCCGGAGAGCATTCCGTCCATACCTGACCTGCTGGCTGAAAGAAGGCCCCAGTGTTCAGAGTTGGGGGGCGGCTGCCCCTCCTGCCCCCCCCCCCCCCCCTGTGGCGCCGCCCCTGCCTGTGACCTATTTCTCGAGGCCATGTTTGGCCGGAATCGCGATTCGGCGTATGCCGGCTCGCATTAGCCGCGCGTTTGCAAGCTTCTCGTGGTTTCAAACGCTCAAACATGAGATGTGATGTTGCTCCCATGCATTTGGGTGGATGTCAAGGTCACCTGAAGGTCAGGTCAGGTCATTGACCTTTGGTGACCTCGGTTCACTTTTTTGAGCTGTACATGTTTCTAGGCCAGTCATAGGCGCGGGAGCCGGGGGGGCAGTAGGGGCAGCTTGCCCCCCCCCCAACTCTAGGGCCGTGGGGGCGGTGCCCCCACAACTTTGAGACGAAATACTGCACTTTTTTGCAAACGTTTTTCTTTTTTGTTGAAAAAGCCAAGGGATGAAAAATAAGTGGCCTAAAACCGGTGAGAAAACTAGATTTGGGGGTACCCTAGGTTCATTTCCATTATGGTGTGCCCCCCCCCCCCCAGTCTGAAAGTAGTTCCCGCGCCTATGAGGCCAGTTTTTGGAGCTGAATTTGAATTTAACAACCATTTGAACATTTAAGAAGTAGTTTTGGTGCCTTTGTAACATGTTACGAAGCTGTCAGAGGCGGTTGACACGTACTACGAAATCCCGTCACGACCTGGTTGACCTGACCTGACCCGACCTGGTCTAAATGCATGAAGAAATCATCTATGATCAAAACTAACACGATATTCGTGATCAGCAACCCGAAAAACCCCTTAGCAGCCACACTACGACTTTCTAACAGTTTATTTGTTTATTTGTTTATTTCATAAAAGCAATCCACAGGCACATTACCCATTTACGGATGCAGTCAGAGTTAAAAAAGATAAATACATCACACACAATACAAAACACACAAACGCGCACGAGCATATATCTTTAAAACTATATGTGAACGCAATGTATGCCACCTAAGAGATGAAGGTACCCAGTGTGCTGACGAAGTTTCGAACGTCAGATCTAAATGATGGATGGAAGAGGTCGGCACTTGGGATGTCCTGCAGGAGCCGGTTACACATTCCAGAAATGCGGGTAGGGAAGGCGGACCTGACAGCGTTCACTCTGCCAAACGGGACATGGAGCAGTCCCGTGTGACGCGAACGTCTGCCAGGTGTCGCCAGTCCGAACAGTGATGTCAGGTGAGGACAGTCTAACCTATCGTGGAATATGTTATATAGGAATATAAGGTCCGTCTGTACGAATCGGGCCTTTATGGATGGGACGCGGAAATGCGACAAAAGACTGTCGTATTCCAGAGGAGGACACCTGTGACGCGTGTTAGACGCCATCCACATGAGATACCTGTGCTGGAGCCGCTCAAACCGAGCGAGGTGTGTGATAGCGGCACCGCTCCAAATTACACTTCCGTATTCTATAATTGATCTTACGTGAGCGTTAAATGCACTTATCAGAGCCACTTGATTCAGTCGCACTCGGCGTGGGCATGCTGGCATTTGCACACTACGCATCAGCATGCCAAGCATCCTGTTAGCTTTAGTGACCGTAGAATCGACATGCGCAGCAAAGGTAAGCTTTCTGTCCAATATAACACCAAGGCCACGAACCTGGTCACACATTTCTAGGCTCTGACCCTCTATAGTGTACGTGTGTACGACAGGAGAGGAACGGAGTGTAAATGATATTGTCTTGCATTTCGCAGCATTGAGGTTCAATCTCCAGGTCTTAGTCCAGGCACAGAGGCGGTCCAAATCGGATTGTAGCGCGGCACAATCTGAACTGCTATCAATGTTGCGATAGAGTTTAACATCATCAGCGTACATGATGCATTCACATGTCATGTGACTGGGTAGGCCTGCCAAATAACACGCGAAGAGCAGTGGTCCCAGGACACTCCCTTCTGGGACACCAGATCGGACTAGGATCCAGGCGGACTGCTTGCCATTTAACACTACACGTTGTGTGCGATTGCTTAAAGGTAGTGTGCCAGCTTTCCTGGACCGTATGGAGTTAATGGCCCAGATAAGGAGAACCGGATTTTTAGAACTTATCCATACCTTCAAAACTCATGGAAACGTCTTAAATTCTTCAAATTTTGAGTACCCCAGTGCGAAATTCGCCCCGACGGGTTGTCGGTCGTACCCCAACCACATTTCACACCACTATGAACAATAAATGCACACACTGAAATCGCTATTACCGATAGGCTCATCCAATCAAGTTTCGATAAACCCGTTCATCATCATCTCCTGCGGTTTCGAACACGCCTGTTAGGTGGTGCGGTAGACCGCGCCCAAAGCCCGGGCCCCGGTAACGTGAGGTAGCCGAGTCGGGGCAGCGTGCGCTGACCCAAGCCGGGGCCGCGCGTCCTCCCGGTGTCATGTGATAGCCCGGGGCTGCCCGCGGGGATGCGGTAGACCGCGCCCAAAGCCGCGGCCCCGGCTTGGGTCAGCGCACGCTGCCCCGACTCGGCTACCTCACGTTACCGGGGCCCTGGCTTTGGGCGCGGCTTCCGCTCATACTTTGTGGTGCGGTGGTGGTGCGTCGGGCCGCGCGCTCTGACTTCGGCCAAGAAAAATGCGTCAGCTGATCATTGTCATTTCTGCCACTTGCGTGTGGTGAAATGGGGTCATAACTTAAGAGACGGCTTTTTCATATCAATTATTTTACATAAAATCATATTTCAAACCATAAATAATGTTCGACAGCCAAATAAAAGAAACAATACCAATACAGGCTTACAGTTTAAGGCTCGACATTGTGTTGTCTACGATTAGACAGCTGATAACTCATTCCCGTACGTCGTAACTCTATAATGACCTTTGCTTATTGTCACATGTGCGCCGCATTCGCGATTGTTGCTGACGCCTGTTTACAGGTTAGCCCACTACAGTTGTTATACATATCGAAAAACCGATAAACTTTTAGGCGAAAAAGGCAGTATTCCAGGCCCATTTTTGATTTTTTTTGCGATATTAGGTAAAAACAGAAGCTTCTTATCCTAGGAAAAATAAAATGGGAAATCTTTCAAAGGTGGCACACTACCTTTAAGTACGACTCAAGCCAGTCATAGGCAAGACCAGTAACTCCAAATGAATGTTTGAGCTTGGAGTTACTGGTCTTGCCTATGACTGGCTTGAGTCCCGATTTTCCCGACTTTGGGTCATTGACCTGACCTGGAAGGTCAACTGTAAAGTCCGTGCCGAGCTCCTTGCTGTATTGGGTCCAGCTGCAGACTGCCGCGCGGCCGGCCGACCGGCCGCCGCGCCAGGCCACACAAAACCGCCCGAGGCACATGCGCCGCGACACGCAGGGACGGACACCGCGCAGGGACGGACACAGGGACGGCCGATAAGGGAGGCGCAGCGGCGCACTCAGGCCACAGGTGGGGGAGGCGTGAACCATAGTTCACTACACTGCCCCCTCACAAAACACAAGTAATATGAACAGAGCTAGGAACCAAAAAACTTAGTCTGCTTTCTCACTCTAGTTCCGCGACGAACACCACCACCCTCGTCCAACACACGAGACTGTACACCTGCACCAGCCTCCACTCCGAGCCCCGAACGCAGTGGGGTTTCCGTCCGTGCACCAGCGTCGCCGGCGACACACGCGGGCTCGAGCTCTGATGCCTCAGGCCGGGGCTCCGACGGAGCAGGCGCCGAAGACGATGGCGATGCTGCTGGAGCGCTAGGCGCCGCTCCAGGTGTGCTGAACGGCGGCAGCGACGCGTCCAAGCCAGACTCCCCCGGACGAGACGGCTGCAGCGCCGCCGTCGGATTCCGAGATGGCTGCCCTCCTTCCGCAGGAATGTCACCGGGCTCCGAAGTCAGCGCAGAACGTCCTGCAAACAGTTTGCCGTCAGACCTATGCCGAAGCTGATCGATATGTCGTCTCCACAGCCTACCATCTTCAGTCTCCACAGCGTAAGACACAGGTCCATCCACTCCGACGACAACACCAGCAACCCACTTCGAGCCAACACCATAGTTCCTTGCAAACACCAGGTCAGCCACATCCAGTCTCCTGCCAGTGCTCACCTTAGCATCGTGGTTTTCCTTTTGGATCACCTGTTGTTTCTTCACCTCAGTTCGCAGGTCCGGGTGCAGAAGGTCCAGGCGACTTCGGAGGACACGCCCCACCATCAGCTCTGAGGGGGCTACGGAAGTTGTGCTGTGCGGGGTGATACGCTGGCAAAGCAACCATCGTGATAGCGTAGTCTCCCAGTCACTGTTCGACCTCTGCAACGCTAGTTTGACATCTTGTACAGCACGTTCAGCTAGTCCATTCCCCTGACTATGGCGAGGTTCTATGGTCTTATGATGAATGCCGTTCTGGCGCACGAACTCCTCAAAATCTGCTGACGTGAACGATGTAGCGTTATCAGTTACGATTACGTCCGGTAGCCCCCACCTTGAAAACATCTGTCTCAGTTTGGCTATAGTCGTCTGGGAGCAGACACTGGTACAGCACTCTGCCTCCACCCACTTGGAATAAGCATCCACCACGATCAGGACGTACCTTCCCTTCTTCGGCTCAGCGAAGTCCACGTGGATCCTCGACCATGCCCGCTCAGGCCACGGCCACATGCAGATTGGAGAACGTCCCGGTGCAGGTCGGCTTTCCTGGCAGGCTTGACAGGAGTTCACGATGTGCTCAATATGCTGGTCCAGTTGAGGCCACCAGACACAGCCTCTCGCCAGCCTTCATGCGGCGGATGCCAGGGTGCGCCACATGCAGCTCCTTCAAGACTGCTTCACGTGCCCTGCTGGGAACGACGACACGGTGACCCCACATCAGCACTCCACGACAAACAGACAACTCCAGACGCTTCGAGGCAAAAGGTGACAGGTCTGCATCTGTAACCTGCGGCCAGCCACCCCTCTGGACAAGGCGCATTACCCGAGACAGCACCGGGTCACGAGACGTCAGGAGGGCTACCTTCCTGGCGTCAAACAGCTGTTGATCATCGACCAGGAGCACCAGATCCTCCTCCTGCGAAGAGTTCGAGTCAGGCAGAGGACAGCGGCTGAGGGCATCAGCATTGCCCATCTCTTCAGTCCGCCGGTACTGAATCTCGTATCGGTACGTCGAGAGCTTCAACGCCCACCTCCGGATTCTGGAAGACGCCATCTCAGGTAGGTCAGTATGTTCACCGAACAACATCACCAGAGGTTTATGGTCGGTGACCAGCGAGAACATGTTACCGGCCAGGTACGCGTGAAACTTGGTAACCCCGAAAACGATTGCCAGTGCTTCCCTCTCGATCTGAGAATATTTGCGTTCACATGGGGACAGACTTCTAGAAACGAATCCCACTGGCTTCTCAGTCCCATCAGCTTCCCTCTGAGCCAAAACGGCACCGATTCCCACAGAGGAGGCATCACACACTAGGACTTGCCGTTTGTTGATGTCGAAGTGACCCAACACGGAGCCAGACGAGAGGACGTCACGAGCCCACTGGAAGCTGGCAGCCTGCTCTGCACCCCAGCGCCATGCCACGTCCTTCTGCAGGAGGAGATGAAGTGGCGCCAGCTTCTGACTGCGGTCTGGAATATATCTGGAATAATACGTCAGAATTCCCAGGAACGACTTCAGCTGCTTAACGTTCTTCGGTTCTGGCGCTGACTGTATGGCTCGCACCTTGGCTGGTGTCGGCCTGATGCCGTCCTTGTCAACGATGTGACCCAAGTACTCGACACTGGGCACCAAGAATCTACACTTGGCTGGTCTCACCTTCAACCCGGCTCTCTTCAGTCTTCCGAGGACGTCGTCCAGCGTCTTCAGATGCTCCTCCGTCGTTCTGCTGGAGATCAGGATGTCGTCCAGGTAAGCCACCACACCAGGTAAGTCACGAAGCACCCGCTCAATCTCCCTCTGGAACAGACTGACCGCCGAATTGAGCCCAAAAGGCAGACGAGAGTAACGCATCAACCCCTTCGGCGTGTTCACCGTCAGTACATCGCGCGAGTCTTCATGCACAATGACCTGGTTATACGCCTGTGCTAGATCCAGCGTAGTGAAGACTCGTCCCCCAGCAAGCTGCGCGAAAATATCCTGCGCGCGCGGAAGCGGATATGTGTCACACTTCACAGCCTTATTTGCAGTCAGCTTTAAGTTAGCACATACTCTGACAGTGCCATCCTTTTTCAAGACAGGAACTAGCGGAGCGGCCCACCTGCTGTGCGTTACCTGTTCAAGTACACCAGACTCTACGTCCTTTTGCAGCTGCTTCTCCACCTTTTCCTTGTAGGCGTATGGCATGGAACGAGCTCTGAAAAACTTGGGCTGCACACTTCGGTCAATGTTCAGGCGGAGCTTCACATCCTTCAACTCCCCCAGACCTGGTTCAAACACTTCCGCATACTTCCTTCTCAACGCCGCTACTGACACATTCTCAACAGCACACACTTCCTTCTAGTCTAACTTGACAGCTTTCAACCAGTCCCGTCCCAATAGGCTGGTCCTATTTCCTTGTACCACAACAACCTTGAGGTTAGCATGCTTCTGGCCCTTGTAAGTTACTGCAGTTCTGAATTCCCCCAGGACTGAAATCACATCTCCTGTGTACGTTCTCAACCTGAGAGCGCTGGTTTCAACCTGGGACGTATCCGTAGAGATTTGTATGTGTCCTCTCCTATCAGAGTGTTACCCGAGCCGGTGTCTATCTCCATATCTACTTGCGTTCGCTGTAAGTAAACAGAACAGCGAAGTGGCGGAGAACTCACCTGGAGGACGCTTGCAGATTGTGGGCTGTCGCTGCTGGTAGCCGCCACCTGCTGGACGTTCCCGGCGTCTTCATCGGGCCAATTGTCCCAGTCCTCGGTGTCTGAAGCGCTGACGGCGTTCGTCACCTGCCGACGACCCCTGCCGCGGCCGGCTGGGGGCCTGCCTCGACCTGCTCCTGTGCGGCGGGGCTTTGGACAGGCCTTGGACACGTGTCCAAGTCCGTGACAGTTGTAGCATTTGGAGTTACGGAAGCGACAAACATCAGCGCTGTGATTGTCTCCAGTACACTGCCAACACTGCGGATGGGCCTGCTGCTCCCTACGAGAACCTGCACTCACTGCCTGTACAGGCTCGGCCCTCTCACCGTTATGAGACATGAGGTGGGCGTCCTTGGTCGACGTCTCCAGAGCCAGGCAGATTCTCACGGCGTTGCTGAAGTCCAGGCTCTTCTCCGAGAGAAGACGCCGCTGCATCCTCTCGTCTCCGACTCCAATCACCAGCTGCTCCAACAACCTGTATTTCAGAGTGTCCTCAAAGCAGCAATGTTCAGACGCTTTCCTGAGAGCAGCAACATAGTCAGCTACAGCCTGACCCGGACGGCGATTACATGTTCCGAACTTGAAACGACTGACCAGTACGGACGGTTTGGGATCCTGATGCTCCTTAATCTTTTCAAGCAAATCCTTGAAACTGACTTCACCGGGCTTGCTAGGCGACACAAGACTACGTACAAGTGAGTAGGTCTGTTTGCCACATACCGTGAGAAATGTCGCTCTTTTCCTGCTGTCCGATGTGATGCCGTTACTCTCCAAGAAGAAATGCAGACGCTCCTCCCACTCCGTCCACGAACCTGAAGCTGGCTCAAACGGCTCCAGTTGCAGGTGCCCCGCTGCTGCAGTGCCGTCTTCGTTCGACATCTTCAGCTCTTCACTCCACCATCAGCCGGGCCTGAAGTTCACCTCGTCGCCAGTGTAAAGTCCGTGCCGAGCTCCTTGCTGTATTGGGTCCAGCTGCAGACTGCCGCGCGGCCGGCCGACCGGCCGCCGCGCCAGGCCACACAAAACCGCCCGAGGCACATGCGCCGCGACACGCAGGGACGGACACCGCGCAGGGACGGACACAGGGACGGCCGATAAGGGAGGCGCAGCGGCGCACTCAGGTCACAGGTGGGGGAGGCGTGAACCATAGTTCACTACAATATCGTCATATTGACGACAGGTCCCGATTTTCCCGACTTTGGGTCATTGACCTGACCTGGAAGGTCAACCAATGACCTAGGACCTTAAAATTGTGTATCATCGGCTTCTTCTCGTCACGGGCAACACGCTCGTTTTTTCCACGAAGCTCTAGCTCGATCAGGGGCCAAACGGCAAGGGGGGGTCCAACCGACCCCCCCCCCTACACAGAAGCTGGCAAACGCCGCACACATGCGAGGGCTAAATCCGTTGAATGTATCGGATCAAACAACCTTAGTTACGGGACCCGCCGCAAGGGTGTGCTGGTGGCGTGCGCCTAGCCCACGCCACAGCAGTGCGTGCTAGCCACTGAACTCTATAATTCTAGCGCAGACCAAGAACCGGCCGCCGCCTGTGTTGGGGAATAGGGAATTCGGGACCTCGATTTACGTTTGCGGCCGCTGCATCCGTTACGTTCAAGCTATGTTGACACGGAACCCGGCATCTTACGCAGAATTGAGTGGAGAAAAAGATGAAAATTTTAAAAAATCCTCAGATACAGGGAATTGATTTGTTAAACCCTTATAAGTCAATTGGAAAATATGGAAATTGCTATTTTGGTGCCGGGAATGATATGAAACTATCTGAAGCATACAGAATCGTGATTTCATACACTCCTTCCAAGGTCCAATGCTTCACATTTGCATTGTTGCCCTTGCGTGACGTCCTATGTGACGTCACAAGGGTCATAAATTTTTCTTCAATAATTCCCGATCAAATTGAGCTAGCGAATCGGGAAAGCCACAAGTGGACTCAGGAAGACATGCCGAATCGAATGATATGCAACATGACCTTACTCGACCAGCTTCGTGACCTGAGAGCTCTGACCTAACCAATCCATGTCACGAGGTCAATGCCTTAAAGGTAGTGTGCCAGCTTTCCTGGACCATATGGAGCTAATGACCCGGATAAGGAGAACCGGATTTTTAGAACTTATCCATACCTTCAAAACTCATGGAAACGTCTTAAATTTTTCAAATTTTGAGTACCCCAGTGCGAAATTCGCCCCGACGGGTTGTCGGTCGTACCCCAACCGCATTTCACACCACTATGAACAATAAATGCACACACAAAAATCGCTATTACCGATAGGCGCATCCAATCAAGTTTCGATAAACCCGTTCATCATCATCTCCTGCGGTTTCGAACACGCCTGTTGGGTGGCTTCTGCTCATACTTTGTGGTGCGGTGGTGGTGCGTCGGGCCGCGCGCTCTGACTTCGGCCAAAAAAAAAAAAGCGTCAGCTGATCATTGTCATTTCTGCCACTTCGTGTGGTGAAATGCGGTCATAGCTTAAGAGACGGCTGTTTCGTATCAATTATTTTACATAAAATCATATTTCAAACCATAAATTAATGTTCGACAGCCAAATTAAAGAAACAATACCAATACAGGCTTACAACTTGTGTTTAAGTTCGACATTGTGTTGTCTACGATTAGACAGCTGATAACTCATTCCCGTCCGTCTTAACTCTAGAATGACCTTTGCATATTATTGTCACATGTGCACCGCATTCGCGATTGTTGCAGACGCCTGTTTGCAGGTCAGCCCACTACAGTTGTTATACATATCGAAAAACCGATAAACTTTTAGGCGAAAAAAGCACTATTCCAGGCCTGTTTTTGATTTTTTTTAGGTAAAAACAGAAGCTTCTTATCCTAGGAAAAATAAAATGGGAAATCATTGGAAGGTGGCACACTACCTTTAAATTGACCTCACCGGAACAAAAAGTGTATCACTCGATG